TCTTTTTTTTTTTTTTTTTTGAATTGTGTTTACTTTGAACTTTTCTGACAGGCATATTTGTGGGGGTTCGACATACGTAACTGGCTGAAGTACTTAAACTCATTGACATGGCCTGAAATCCTCCGGCAATTTGCACTCTCTGCTGGATTTGGTCCTCAATTTAAAAAGAAGACTCTTGAAAGAGGTTGCATGAATGATAATGATGAGGTGCTTGTTTTTTTCCTTCTTCTCGTTCATATGTCTTACATCAAACACTATATTCTTTTGTCGCAGCTGACACATGATCATAAATTTTTGGGTTGTGCTTCCAGCAAAAGAAATGGATAGAAAACTTGGACTTGGACTTGCTAGACGTATACTACTAAAAATAAAAAAAGAGAGAAGCTATGCCCTTTGTTAGGGCTCCATTTTTCAAAAATGCATTTTTCCAACACTCATTTTCAACCACATTCTCCCATAGAATAATGTTGCACGTAACCCAACACGCTAATTAGTGAGGTTACTTATGCCAGAGAAGAATGGCTAGAAAAGCAAGCGTATGGGAGATTTGTGTATAATATATATAAAAATTCTGACCAAATCAAAGAAGAATTAGTGCATTACAAGAAAAGAGAATTTGAGTGTGGAATTTGTTGTATAATATTCGAAGATGGCCTAACATACTGATTCCATATAATCAGGCACCTTGGTTTACTGATAATATTTGCGTTACGTTTGGATCTTGAGTCCATGGAGCTATATGCAAGGCACATTTTTTTGTTTCAAATTCATGAAATATTTATCTCTCCCCCTGCATCCCCCAGATGGCACCAGAAGCACGATCAAAATAACGTGCCAATAATGATATAACTGCATACCATGATGATAACATTCTTCATTCCTCAGATTAAAGGCTGTGAAGACACTGTGTCCACTCTGCGAAATGGTGCAGCAGCTGAGAATGCAGTTGCAATTATGCAAGAAAAAGGACTTGGCCTTCAGCGCAGATCAAGACACCGGTTGACACCGGGTACCGTGAAATTTGCTGCTTATCATGTTCTTGCTCTTGAAGGAAGCAAGGGCTTAAATGTTATAGAGCTCGCGGACAAGATTCAGGTAACTATAGCTACTCTTCGGTTACTGCTGCACCTAGTGGACTAATTTTCGCTTTGTATTTTCTAACTTAATTTTGCTTTTTGCAGAAGTCTGGGCTGCGTGATCTCTCAACAAGCAAGACACCAGAGGCTTCTATTTCTGTTGCATTGTCAAGGGATCCCATACTGTTTGAAAGAATAGCTCCTTCGACATATTGTGTTCGGCCGGCTTTTAGAAAGGATCCTGCAGATGCTGAATCAATACTTGCTGCAGCCAGGGAGAAGATACAGAGATATGCTAATGGTTTTTTAGCTGGTCAAAATGTTGATGAGGAAGAAAGAGATGATGATTCAGACAGTGATGTTGCTGAGGGTGCAGAAGGTGATGGTTTAGCTACTCCGTTTGACGCAGACAAGAACAACGAATGCAATGAAGTTGTCTCCATCTCAGGGAGTGGAAAAGATAATCACCCAGATGCTGCTGCTCTGCGAAATGGAATTGGTAGTGTTTGTAAGAAGTTTCACACATTTCTTGCTTGTTACTAAGGCTTTTTCTTGCTCTCATTTTAGATTTGATAATGAAAATCCACGTACCTTACTGATCAATCAATTGACACACTATTGAAGGCAATGGAGTTGATGATCCTGACCAAGTAGGCATGGAGATTGATGAAAGCAGATCAGGTCAGTCCTGGGTTCTAGGACTGACTGAAGGCGAATATTCTAATCTCTCTGTTGAAGAACGTCTCAATGCCCTTGTTTCCTTAATTGGTATTGCGAATGAAGGGAATTCTATCCGAGTGATTCTTGAGGTCAATTTTCTGAAAATTTCTGCTATTTGAAAATAGGAAATAAAGACTTTAGTCTTCCATCTTTTCTGACAAATGAGACTTTTGCAGGAGCGGCTGGATGCGGCAAATGCTCTTAAAAAGCAAATGTGGGCTGAAGCACAACTAGATAAAAGGCGCATGAGAGAAGAGATTGTAGTTAAGTTCTATGATTCTTCTTTTACTCCTGCAGTTAATGGGGATCAAAGTCCATTGGCTACTGTGA